GAGAGGAGTTATCTTTGAGAGACGCGCTTACATGTCGACATCCATACACACACAACTAACTTCTCAACATTACAGTTGATAAGAAGAAGATAGTGTTCAGTACGTGAGCGTAAAGATGCATACTCGTCCATAAGAAGTTCACTTTCTTCGTTTATTTTACGCTGCAAAATTTTCTTTTGCATTTCAGACATTGAACTCATTGAAACAACTGGAAAGGTAGACGCAAGTAGTGAGACACCTGAAGCTAATCAAGAGAAAGATGGTTAGGAAATGCAACATTATGTAACAACTGCAGAAACTGAATCGTACATTAAAATGGTTATGAGACTTAGTTACATTATACCTTCTTTCATTGGGACGCTTATTCTGAGTATCTTACTAATACACCTAAGGTTGCTAATTAATCTTCCTGCAGACTTATAAGGCAGAGGAGGTCAGCCTCAAAACAGTCGAGTAGTAAATCCCTTTTAGCCAACATAAACAGAAAGTAGAAAAGAGATGGACAGTAAAACTGGAATTGATATCTGGGACAATAACCTAGAGCAGCAAGTAACTAAGTGTCAAACATGAGTTTCTAAGGAGCAGGTATTATTGGCTAGGTGTGGTAAAGTAAATATGGACTACTTCAGCAGCAACTAACTCCAAGGCAAAATATTGATGTACCAGCAAAGCCCAATGCAACATAATAAAAGTAGTAATGATTACCTGCTACAGGGTGGGAGGTACTAGGTTTCACTGTAGCTGCAGTAGCTCCAGATCCTGAGTCAGGGGAAGTGTGTGGAGGAGGAAGGGAGGGAGGAGGAACACTCCATGGCTGGGGATGCTGCTCTAACACCTCACGAGCAACATCTTCTCGAGCCACAGTTTTATTTCTCAGTGCCATGGCCTCTTGGGTATTGTAAATTGTTAGACTATAGGCTGTGCTAGGAGCTGGAGATTCGTCAGCAGGCTCGTTTGGTCTTGCAGTATTAGTAGCAGTTTCACATTCTTGATGAACACTGGGAGGAGCCTGAGTGGATTCTAACTGCCCTGGCTCAGTCTCTACTACTGCCTTGGAGATACTGACCCCTGCAGAATATCACAGAGTTATTGTATGTGATGTGATCTGGGAAAAGCGCTGTTAAGTCAATACACATCACCGTAACCACATTCATCATGGACCCATTAGGTAACCATAGCTTTCCATAGCAAAGTTACACAGCCGTTAAGATATAATTGTGCCGCCTACCGCCTATCATGCAGATTGGTTTTCCTATACTTTAAAGACGTTGAATTAATTAATCGGGTGGCACTGTAGCAATGAGTCAAGGTAGGTTGCTGATGACTAGATGGTTAGAAAATACAAGTACTGCTGAACCTGAATCGTATATTAAAGTCTCATACAACAGCTATGAGACTTAGTGACATTATATCTGGACAATAACGATACATGTATGCAGCAGGACTTCAGCTAGTAACTATACAGTCTCACATGTAGCAACAAATTCCGCCGCTATACTTATGTACTTAGTAAACTACGCAATTATTCATAGAAAGATGAGTTTCTAAGTAGCTGGAATTATTGGGTAGGTATGGTAAAGTCAATATGGACTATTATAGCAGCAAACAACTCTAAGGCAAAACATAGATTTTCGTCGAAGTTTCCTGTTACAGGCAATGTACCAGTAAGGCCCAATGCATCATTCCAACTTAAAATAGTAGTAATGATTACCTGCTAGAGGGTGGGAGGTACTTGGTTGCAGCGTAACTGCAGTAGCTCCAGATCCTGAGTCAGGGGAAGTGTGTGGAGGAGGAAGGGAGGGAGGAGGAACACTCCATGGCTGGGGATACTGCTCTAACACCTCACGAGCAACATCTTCTCGAGCCACAGTTTTATTTCTCAGTGCCATGGCCACATGGGTCCAAGTGCAATCTCCAGTTCCTCCATATCTATTGAGCCATTCAATGATGACATTGCGTAGCTTGTCGTCATTGTTTCTGTTTTCTGAATCAATATTTTTCAGAGTTGACTCAGAAAGACGGAAGACTCCCCCAATGTTACGCCACTTCTCTCGTGCTTCATACATCATCTCAAAAACATCTTGAGTGTTGTCAATTGTCAGGGTACAGACCACTTTAGGCACTGAAGTATCGTCAGGAGGCTCTATAGGTCTAGTAGCAGTTTCACATTCTTGAAGAACACTGGGAGGAGCCTGAGTGGATTCTAACTGACTTTGCTCGGTCTCTACTACTGCCTTGGAGATACTGACCCCTGCAGAATATCACAGAGTCATTGTATGCGATGTCATCTCGGATAAGTCAACATAGTGTCACATCACTGTAACCACATGCTTCAGGGACCCATTAGGTAACCACGTGCATCAGAGACCCACTAGGTAACCATAGTTTTCCATAGCCAAGTTACACAGCCGTACAGTAGGTTAAGATACACTTGTGTTGCTTATCATGCACATGGTTTTTCTATACTTTAATGACGTATAATGCTAATTAGACGAAGTTAATTGGGTGACACTGTAGCAATGAGGCAAGGTACATAGGTTGCTGACGACTATAGGGTAAGATCCCTTCCCCTCATATTTAGAGGCATGTGCAATGCGCATACGGAGTGCACAGTACGTCCGTGGCAGTGCACATGACGACGTGGCATTATGGAATTGCAAGAAAGCAGCTGATGGCAAGGCACTTCTAACTCGCTGTTTACTTCTCTCTCAGCATTTCCTTTGATGGCAGACGACAGCCCATTTGCTTCTCATCACGGATGACACTGCAAACCTGAGGTCGGTTTGCATGGACTTAGAAGCCACTCCCTCCGCAACTTTTGGCTTCCTAGGCAGGGGACTCTATAGGTGGTAAACTTGACTCTGGCGGCTCTGAGGACAACACTTTGTAGCGTACGTAGAATAACTATTATTAGCCTTGCAAAGTGCATGGGGAACAGGGTGACATATTCCATGGCTAATGTTTCTCTCTGCGCACTCCCCTCCCCCTCTATGAACCTCAAATTCTGCGGCTGAGTAACTCTTCCACAGCTCCTATGAATTCACTGCAAAGTTACACTCCCTGAGGCCTCTTTCCAAGCAATGACAGCAATACTGCGTCAAGTGCCTTTATCATCCCCTCCAACTGTACCGCCTGGGAGGCGGGGCTTCTCTCAAACAATTTACCAAATTTCTGCTACAGGGCATAGCCAATGGTGATTGGGTTTAGGCATAGCTCACAGCTGAGACCAGCGCATCGCAACCTGAAGTTGGACTACGACAACCCACAGGAAATAACCGATTACTGGTTCATCTGGGTTTCATTCAGGTCGTCCCTACCTCAACTAGGTTTGCCCTACAACTCTTGCAGGTGAGCCCCTTTGGGGCCTTTCCCCAAAAGCATAAGCCCAATAAATGGCACCTAATTGTTAACCTTTCGTCGCCCGAGGGCTACGGTGTCAATGAAGACCCCTGCTTTGTTTCTTACACATCGGTGGATGTTACAGTGAGTATGATGACAGAAAGTTGGTGCCGGTTTCCTGGTGGCTAAGGTAGATATCCAGGAGGCTTACAGAGCAGTTCCGGTTTACCCCTCATATCAGCACCTACTGGGCCTGTCTTTGGAGCGCCATTAACCCTCGGCACGCATGCGCAGCGAGGGTTACAGTAGTTGGGTTTGTCTGTGTGTGTGTCTGTTACTCTCAATCTCACATCTCGGGTGTTTGTTCGTCTCACAAAGGATACGACCTACTTAACGGGCAATGAAGGTCAGAAATTTCGAACGGTTTTCTCTGAAACTGCTCGTTGCAAAGCTAGAGCGCGAAAAAGCCAATTGCAGATACACAACGGACGGGATGGCTTACCACAGTCGGATCGATCCGCGTGCTCTGCGTACTTCGGAGGCACCAGAAGATGCAACGCAGGGCGTGTATCGCCTCTCGCATACTATCTAGTAGTGTAGTTAGCCCGCGTCAGACTCTGCGCGAGCTGGCAAGAGACCACAAGTAACAGCTAAAACTAAACCCAGCCCATCAATTAGTGGTACGGCACATGCGTTTACTTACGCGTGCACATCACAGTGCGCCGAGGGTTTGCACTTCAGTGCTTTAGGTGCTCCCTTTTGGCCTACGCTCAGTTTTTCAACTAATTCACAGCTTTGACAGAAACTATGTTGTGGATGTTGCAAAACAGAGGAGTGGTTAACACAATCTATGCGATTACACATGCTAGTATGCCTGTTGCACACCCTTGCATTCACGTCAGGATGCGCAGAACCGGTAATTAGGCTACAGTGTCATGCATATGGTCTCTGCCTAGCTTTCTGAGAGCCTGACATGGGCGGGTAGATAACATCAGTCGAGACTCGATATTCGCCATCCATTGTTTTAAGATGGGCCCATGGGCAGAAACAAGTGGATTATGGTTGAGGTAAGTAGGTTGTAGTTTGCGTAATGGGTTATTAACTTTTTGTCGCAGTGTTTTCAAAAAACATTAGGCGACTACTGCCCACAGACCACTGTACATAATAGGGGAGATCAGTTTGCTCCCGGTGAAGTCGCGCACTGGTTTAAATTGAAAATATGTGGAGGAGGAATATGATTATGCTTTTGAAAGCAAGGCCAAAAAATCTGATTAATAAAAAAGAATACTGCCCACACTCATTATGGCCGTATTATTTTCAATAACACCCCCTGGAGAAGCCAACACTGTAGTATGTGTGTATATAATATATATATATATATATATATATATATATATATACATGGTCATTTCAGTACTGAAACTTCTCCAGACGTGTGTATACTATATGCTCGAGAGTGTGTCAGAATGGTTCAACACCTACTACTAGTTATTTAGCCACATACAGGGGCGAAAACCAGCAAAAAAATGACTGATTAAGGTTGTGAACTACTGCACCATGGCTTGTGCCTGCATGATGTTTGCTAAGCTTCAGCTATAAGTAAAAGGTTACCATCTCTTTTAAGGATAGCTAATGAAAACATTGTCTTAGGGAGAAATGGGGTGCCCAGATTTTGTGCCATTGTTCCATCATTCTTACTCCTATAGAGCTTTCATCCTTTCACTGCAGGTACGTACATCACTGACAGAGGAAAAGGCTATGGATAGCTGTTATATAAGTGTGTTTTCTTATATTCTGTGCAAACGTACCTCATTCCTGCGAAAACCACACGCACAAGTGAAATTGTATTTATTTACTATACGAGGACTGACACGGAAATTTTCGCCATTATCAATTCTGGTTACGTAGTCTAATAAATCTAGAACACACACTCTAGCTGCACATGCAGGCGAGTAAGGTATGTACTAATTGGCTACTCTTGGATACAGTACATAGAATACACTGTACATTAAGACCTAAACACATTAGTAGGAGTGCTCGTACTCACAAGCCGAGGGAAAAACCCTACTCAAACAGTTACTTTTGAGTGCCCAAACACTGAAGCGCTTTCAATAAGCAAAAAATCGCACATGTGAAATCGTAGATCTTTAGTACAGCATGACTTAACCAGTGCCACACACGAATGAGCTGACAGACATCTTACACTTCAACTGGATTGCCAGTACACTTGTCTTATGCCTGTACACCATCACATCCCCACGCAAGAGTTCTGTAATTAAACTAGCTGGTGTTTTTCGCCACAGATATACATAGGGTACAAACTAGCACTGGGAAATGGCATGGCTAAAACACAGAGAGCACGTTCAGTGAAGTTCAGTCATTTTATAATATGACAATACATGCAGGATAATATTATTCCCATTAGAATGGCAGGTCTAGAGTGTTGAAGTCCTTAAGGAAAAACAAAGACAAAAACTTACACATTCTCAATCTCAAAAACTCGAGTACTCATACTCGACCACTCACACTTGCAAGTCAAACACACTTGACTATACAAAGAATGGCTACTGGTGTTAGAGTTCTGCACTTCCTGTCTTCACCGTACTTAGTGCAGTGATAGGGTTCTAGTGTAAACAATCAAACTAGCGAGCACATGACTATCCGTGCCATGTTACACAGTTTATATTATGCAGACCAGCAAGTTAACAAACCAAGTGTTGTACGCACTTGGCTATTTTTCCTACAAGTTATCTGGTAGCATTCCATGGTCCATCAAAGCAAGCTGTTTAATTGCTTGATCTTTATCTGACACCGCATCCCATATCACTAAATACGGTAGTACTTAGTATATAGGGATGACACAGGTCATCCTGCATTATATCCATACATTTGAGATTTGTACGTTTCACTTTCAGTTTCAATCAGATCTGACAAACCAGGTACAACTGCAATGAAACTTTGCACAGAGATTGGAATCCTTGACAGGTCGTGCAAGAGCATTTGTAAAAAAAAACAGGCCATAATTATGATAGAGATCAATAAAGTGAAGAAGAAGGAGAAGAAGGAGGAGAAGATGAACAAAACTCCCTATCATAGCCCCATACATAATATATGATGCTAGGTACCATGCCCATCCCTATATACTAAGTACTACCGTACTTAGTGACAACAACAAACACAGCCTTGTGTCTCTAACTTGCTTATGGTTGGTCCTCTAACAATGAAAATGTGTATATATATATATATATATATGCAACCCATCATTAGTATATCAAAATGTAAACATTACAAGTTTGTAAACAACAACAAACAGCCTACAGGCAATAGAAACTGGTAAATGGTGTTTGTGCCTCAAACTTGCTTATGGTTGGTCCCTGACAATGAAACTTGGTACACTGATGTACCATGATAAGAGTTCATCGAAACAGAAATTACAAGTTTGTAAACAACAACAAACAGCCTCAGGTAATAAACCTTGTAAATGGTGTTTGTGTCTATAAATTACTTGTGGTTGGTCCTCTAACAATGCACTGTTTCACCACGATAACAAGTCTATCGAAACAGAAATTACAAGGTTGTAAACAACAACAAACGGCCTCAGACAAAAAAGGAGTTTTAAAATAGTGTCAGTGCCAATAACTTGCTTATGATAGGTCCTCTTATGGTGCACTGATGTAATGTGAATGACAACAAAACGTCAGACGCGATAGCTTAAGGTCACTAATGTAACTTTTTATGGGCTTATGCCCAAAAATATATTGCACGGCATGCATGTAACTGCGGTAAAAAGGAAAAGGAGACAAGTAAATAAAAAATTCTTCCCCATAAAAAGCAAGGAGAAGAGACAGGGATGACCCAGTGCATGTGATGCATTAGTACGATGGTATGCAACCGTGATGTAATACCCAAG